TCAATTTTCATCTAATTTATCTCAACAACCATTGACCTATTTGATTAATTATTTCAATCATAATAATCAAATATTATATACACCATCGAAAAGCTAAGAATAAATAAACATAACATAATTGTCATATCAAACAATAAACTGAGAAATATCAACTAATAAAGAGAGTTTTCAAAGTAAAAAAAATAGAGAATAAAATTAAAAACAAAATAAAAAGAAAACGAAGAAATAATACTTGAATGTAGTTTTAAATTTTGAATTTTTTTTTTTAATTTTTGTAAGAATAAAAAAAAATCTTAAAATGATGATTTGCAGAAAATGAGAAAGGAGAAGGAGATCAATAAAGAGAGGGGGAGGAGTATTTTTTGAGAGAGAGGATGATTTTGGGAAAAAATAGTCCCTTTAATAAGTATTTTTAAAAAACAAAAGAAAAAACTCCAAATTGGAGCTTTTTTTAAAAGTTTTTTTTAGATTTAATTTTTTTAAAAAATTTTTTTTTAAAAAAATTTTTTTTACGAAATCCTATATGGCTCAACTACTGCTTTTAAGTAGTAGATAAGTTAAATATAAATCAGACCAAACGAGCACTTAACATAATATCAATTAGAGTTGTAATAAGCTAAGCCTAAGTAGTTTTGGTTCAAACTCAACTAAGTGCAAAATGTCCTATCTCAACATTAAGAGGTTATTTGCTATGTAACATTTTTTGTAATGTGATTGGTAAAATTATATTATAATTTTTGAAAGTAAAATACCAATGCAATGTATCATTTTATTGGCATCACATTTCTTTTTTTAAATCGATGTGATGTTACTTTCTCGTTGCTTGCAAAGTAATTTATTTATTTTTGAACTAAAAATGCCTAACATCTTTTTAACCCGCCTAAACTAATTTAACTACTGTAAATAATCAATTTTGGTTAATATATCACGTAACATTATATAAAGAATAATGAGAACAACCATTATAAGTGAAGCACTACTTTACGCAAAATAACTAGAATAAGTAGAGCATTACTCCATGTGGAACAATTAATACAAGTAAAATAACTATTTTGTACAAAATAACAATTTCACATAGATGACAGTGAAAGTAATCCGGAATAGGTGGTAGGGTTCATAGGTTCCTTTCGTATTAGGATGTTCCGGAGAGTTTGATTTAGTGATTCTGATATGGAGGTATTTAAGAGGTCTCTCTTAACCTTTTCTTGAAATACAAGTGTTTTATGCTTTTCTCTTATTTTTTTATACTTGTTCACGTACAACCTTTTCTCTTGTACCTGTTCATGTATAGCTTCCTCTTTTGTACCTGTTCACGTACAGTTTTTCTTTTTTAGCTCTTACTCGAGAACAAGTCCTATTAAATATAATTATTTTAATGGTCGCATAATAAGTTTTTAACCATTATTCAACATTAACTCTCAGTAACGGTTACCTAACATTAAAACTCTTCTTAATGACATCATTCATTACGTGTATTAAAACTTTTTCTTGTAACTGTTATTTTTGACACTATATATATAGAGCCTTCACAACTCAAAAAGGGGACTTTTTTAGAACTACTAGACTCTGACTCATAGCTTTTCTCCTTAGCCTATTCTCACTCAAAACACTTATTCTTTTCTTGTTCTCTTCCACCTACCATGACATTTAGTGCTTCAAGAACTACTCCAATCTTCCTCTTCATCCACTCCGGTACATCCCTTACTTGTTTGCAACGCTTCCTCTTCTCATCACAAGAACCCCATTTATATTTTAGCGACTCCACTGAGGAGTGATTGCATTAAGTAAAACTTTTACTGTTACAATTTCTTGTTACCGAAAATATAGAGAGTTCCACTAGCAACCAAGATGCAATTGTTCCTTCTTATATTCAGGATTTGATGAGAAAGATCCAAGCTTCTCAAGAAAGGATGCAAACATTAGAGGACAATCATAGGAGAATGATGGACACTATATCTCAACTCGTGTCCTCTACTGTCACCATTTCTCAAGCCCAGCCTATGAACCTTGATGACAATGCACCTGACGGAGTCACTCATCTAGTTACAAACACTGAGGGGAATGGAGGAAATAGAGAAGGTGCAGTTGATGTAGTAGTTGCTGTAAATCCTACTCCTACCAACACCACTGATGTAGTTATCCTAGCAACTACCTCTACTGCGGTAATCCCACCTACTTCTACTTAAAGATTTGTGACAATGGAAGAGCTCCAAAGGCTATTAGATTAGAAAAACAAGAGCTTGAATTTTTTTGAGTTTGATCTCCAGTTACCTTACTCGGCCAATATAGCCGCAAAGCCATACCCTAAAGACTATATTAGCCCCAAGTTTAAACAATTCAATGGAAAGACTAGAGATGCACATGAACACGTCATGAAATTTGTGGAGACCCTTGGAATTGTTGGATTGGATGATGGCTTGAAGTTGAAGAAATTCTCCAAGTCTCTCATTGAGAAGGCTTATACATGGTATGTTAACCTCATTCTTTGTTCTATTCAATCTTATAATTAGATGTGTAGGATGTTTGGGGAAAAGTTCTTCTCTATTCAAGAGAAGGTTACTCTCGTTGTTCTTGAAAGAGAGTTTCAAAAGTCCAGAGAAGATTTAATGAAGTATATCTAACGCTTTAAAGAGAGGGTGCTGGACATTCAAGAATCTCATGATGAGAAAGATCTAGTAAAAGTGTGCATTCAGAGGATGTTCGATGAATACAGGTTACACTTGGAGAATCTACCTTTTCCAACCTTTGCTACACTAGTGGAAGTAGCACGAAGGACCAATAATACGGTTCTTAGAAAAAAAGGGACTCACTCGCTTTGGTAGAAGGAATACTCCAACAATGAATGCCATCCAAGGAGGAGTTAGAGAAAGAAAAGGTTCAATCTAAACAAATTTATGCCCCAGAAGAGATGTCCCAAGGAAAAGGCCAGATGAGGAGAATGACTCTTCTCCACCATTCTCAGTACTTCCGGATAGAGTGAGAGCTCTTCTTCAAGAATGGGTCAAGGATAGATAGATAAACCTACCATACACTCCACGACCACTAACAACGGAGGAGAAGGCTAACCCAAGATATTGTGATTATCATCGAGTAGTTAGTCATCCATTTTCTGATTGCAAAAATCTTTAGAGAATGTTCCATCGACGAGTACAAGCAAGAGATGTATTGATTGGAAATAATAGAGTCTAGAATAATCTTCTTCCTATTCATCCAAATCCTTGTGAGCAAGTAAGTGCAATAATTCATGATCACCATGATGATCCTTCTTATTCAAACACTCAGCTCAATGATACAAGTGAAAATACAATGGTTACTTCTTCGATTGCTAATTCACTTATGAAGACATCTAGTTTCAAGCATTTCTTTGATTAGCTTGGGTTTTCAGAAGCAGCAAGGAAAGAAGCAGCTATATCACTAGTTCAAATAGCCGGAGAACAGTATAGGGAGTGTAACCTAGTAGGACGACTTATAGGGAAGATGGTTGGTGCATATCAGAATGCTATTGTGTTTATAAAGGCAAACATGTGTACATCTCATCCTCATCATAATAAACCCCTATATGTGAAAAGTACTATCAATGGATATCCTATTAGGAGAACATTCATCGATGATGGCTCCTCTGTGAATCTCATACCTTTATCTACTTTGAAATCTATAAACATAGATTTGAAGGGTTTATGCCGTCCTATGACTATTACTTCCTTTGATAATAAGGAGATTATGACTTTGGGACAAGTGACAGTGAACTTCAAGATGGGGCCGATTCAAGATTAGACATGTTTTCATAATATTGATGTAAATGTGGCTTATCATGCTCTAATTGGAAGAAAATTCCTGCACAAACACAATATCATTCCTTCTACATGCCATCAATGTATTAAAGGACATTGGAAGGGGAAGGAGATTTTCAGTCTAACCACTAAAGCTCCATTTGAACGGCATGAGGTGAGTTATACAGAGGCTTCTTTTTTTGAAGATTTAGCAAAAGATGGAGAAACAATTATTGCTAGACCTATCGATGTTCCATTTCTGCGATAGGAAGAGTATGTTGGGGATAAGGTAGAGAGCAATGGCAAGAAGAAGAAGCGAGGTAGGAAAAGAAAAAGGGAAAGCACTTCCACATATAGAGAAGTAAATGAAGAAACGATATCCAATGGGGTAACTTCTTAGGCACGGGAAGATGGAAACATTATGTATTGCTTATGATCGAACACGGGGTTTGGGGAAACATCTTCTCCTAATCCCAAACATTGGAAGCCACTAGATGCATCACCATCATGTTTTCAAGTGGAAGCAGAAAAGGAAAAAGTACAAGTATTACCCACAAAAGAACAACTTTCAGATCGACCCAAGCCTCAAGGTGATAAGTTGGAAGAAATAAATATGACAGAGGAAGGAGAGACAACTAAACCACTCTTCATAAGCAAAAGTCTTTTTGGCAAGCAAAGGATTGAGCTAATTGAGCTATTGAGAAAATTTCAAGATGTGTTTGCTTGGACTTATGAGCAAATGCCTGGATTAGATGAAAATCTCAATATTCATGAGTTACACATTTCTCCACAAAGTAAGCCAGTGAAACAATATGCTCGTGTATTTCATTACGAGATAGAGAGCCAGATAAAGGAGGAGATTAACAAGCTCCTCAAGGTTGGATTCATCAAACCCATACATTATCCTACTTGGCTAGCAAATGTAGTTCCTGTGAAAAAGAAAAATGGAACAATTTGGGTGTGTAGATCTAAGAGATTTGAATAGGGCATGCCCAAAAGATGAGTTTCCTCTTCCTAACATTGATACTTTAGTGGATGCTACATCTGGGCATGAGATGTTTTCCTTCATGGATGGGTTTAGTGGATACAATCAAATAAAGATGGCACCAGAAGATACAGAGAAAACAACTTTCAAAACTCTATTTGGTAATTTCTACTACACTGTAATGCCATTTGGATTGAAGAATGCAGGTGCAACCTATCAATGTGTGATGACAGCTATCTTTCATGACATGATGCATGATTGTATGCAAGATTATGTGGATGATATAGTGGTGAAATTCAAGAAGGCTTTTAATCACTTTGGAGACTTGAAGAGAGTATTTGAATTGTGTAAAAAGTATAATCTTCACATGAATCCTTTAAAGTGTGCATTTGGAGTAACAGTTGGGAATTTCTTGGGTTTTGTGGTTCACAGAAAAGGTATAGATGTTGATCCTACAAAAATAAAGGCTATTCAATCCATGCCAGCTCTGGTGAATCAAAAACAACTCAAAAGCCTATTAGGAAAAGTCTATTATATTAGGAGATTCATTCCAGCTTTAGGAGAAATCATTGTACCTTTCCAAGTCTTGCTTAAGAAAGGTGTTCCACTCATATGGGGTGAATCACAACAACAAGCATTTGAGAAAATTAAGAAGATTCTTATTTCTCCTGCAATGATAACCATACCTATCAAATGAGAGCCAATGATGTTGTATTTGACTTCTATTCCATATCCAATTAGTGCCTTACTTGTATGGAAAATGGATGGAGAAGAAAAGCTTGTGTATTACCTTAGTAGATGCTTACACAGAAGTGAGTTGAATTATCCACATATGGAAAAGTACTGTCGTGCTTTAGTGTACGCAACTCAAAAGCTTCGGCACTATTTCTTGGAACAGAAGCTCATAATTGTGACAAAGTCAGATCCATCAAGTTCTTACTTTCTAAGCTAGCTCTATCTGGAGAATAGCAAAATGGCTTCTTTTATTGAGAGAGTTTGATATATCAGTTGTTCAGCCAAAAGCTATCAAGTCTCAAGCACTTTTAGATTTGTTAGCATATTTTCCATCTCAGTTTGAAGAGGTTATTCTTGATGCTATTCCAGTTGAATTTCATGAAGAAGTATGTGAAATAAATATAGAAGAAAGAGAGTGGAGTTTATACTTTGATGGTTCTTCAAACAATTTTGGAGGAGGTGCCGGAATAGATTTCGTTCCACCAGGAAGAAAAGGTTCAGAGTTAGACTCCTTAGAATCTGGAAGAGAACCTATCTCTATGGCTTTCAAGCAAGATTTTCCATGCACAAATAATCAAGCTAAGTATGAAGCACTAGTTTTGGGGTTGTATGCGGCATCAACGATTGGAGTAAACAATCTTTGCATTCATAGAGATTCTAATCTTATTGTAAAGTAGACTAATGGTGAGCTTTCCTTGAAAGAGCCAATGCTTGCTTCTTATAAAACTCTTGTTCAGTCCTTGTTAGAGAAATTTCAAGCGGTGAGATGTGAACATACTCCAAGAACAACGAACCATTATGCAGATGCACTTGCTACTTTGGCTTCTAAAATCCATATATCAAAAAAAGAACGAAGTATTCCTATAGCTGTACTCAAGAGGACTATCCCATGTCCATCTAGTGAACTATTACAGCCTCCAATTTATGAGAAAGAGGATTAACGAAAACCTATCATATCAGAGCTGCTTAATCTTGATTCTACTACTATTCTGCACTTGAAGCACTATATTTTGATTCATGGTACACTTCACCAAAAAGGAAGTAATGGAGTTTTAGCCAGATGTGTTTTTGAGGAAGAGGTAAAAGAAAGATTGAGAATAGCCCATGAGCAATGGTGTGGGCAAGAAGGACCACTTTTACATTGTTTACTCCAAAGGGCAGGATATTTTTGGCCATCTATGTCTAAAGATACTTTATAGCTTCAAAAGGCTTGCACTAGATGTTCTAAACCACCAGATGTACAAGAGTGTAATTTTGTGGGAAGTGCTGGTGATTGGCGTGGGCCATATATTGATTTTCTTCAAAATGGAATTTTACCAACTAACTCTCAAGATGTAAGAAAACTTAAGAGAAAAGCTCAACGTTTCTTCTTCAAAGGAAATGATTTATTCAGACTCTCATTTTCAATAACACCATTGAAATGTGTTTCCCTAGCTGATGTCAATCCATTGTTAGAAGAATTGCATGCAGGTAGTAGTGGAGAACGTAAAGGTGGAAGGAAGCTTTATCAGAAGCTTTATCAGAAGCTTTTGGATCTTAGGTATTATTGGCCTACTATGGAAGCGGATGTAGTGATTTATGCAAGGAAGTGTTATCTGTGTCAAATTTATGGGATGCAATACATGCTCTAGCTGTATAACTTCACAGTATCATTACTCCATGGCCATTCCATACTTAGGTGTTTGATTTGATTGGACCTATCAATCCTCCTTCTAAAGGATATACTTGGATATTAATAACAACATAGTGCTTTACTAAATAGGTGGAAGTTATTTTTTTGAAGAATACCATTGGTCCAGCAGTGGAAAATTTCATTAGGAAAAACATCATTTGTAGGTTTGGCATACCTAGACGTATTCTTTCAGATAATGGTACTCTATTCATTAATGCTAGTATAAGGGAATTACTTGCCCTTTACGATGTGGATCATGTGAAGTCTACTCCTTACTACCCGAAAGGAAATGGTCAAGCTGAAGCTACTAATAAGACTTTTACTCAAAGTGCTTAGTAGAATGGTGCATGAAGAACCAAAGATGTGGCATGATGCACTTCCAGTAGCATTATGGGCATATAAGACTTCCAAGCATGGACCTACTAAAGCAATTCCTTTTTCACTAGTATATGGGATAGAGGTTGTACTACTCGTGGAAATTCTAGTTCCATTTGCAAGATTAGCTTTAGACACTGAATCTGATAATGATACTTTACAGATGTTAGAATTGGAAGCGCTAAAGGAAAGAAGAGATAGAGAAAAGAAAAACTTATCAGTTTATCAGAAGAGGTTGAGTAAAGCTTCTGACAAGCTAATGAAAAAGAGAAATTTTGAAGAGGGTTATCTAGTACTTCGTGCAACTGAACATATTAGAAAAGGAACCCCAACTTCTAATTTAGTCCAAAATAGGAAGGACCATATATTGTCCACGAGGTGAATAAGAGTGGATATTGCAAATTGATAAATCCAAAGAACAATGCCATCACTGCTCCAATCAATTTTCAATATATAAAGAAGTATCATATATGAGATTCTAACTCCACTCTTTGTTATATGCAAAATACATGTTTTACTTCTTTGTAATGAAAGGCATTACAGTCGCAGTATTACCGCTTTTATATTGGCTGTGTTTTACTATTTTAGCCGCTAGCTTCATTGCTTATATCTTGGTTGCAATTATATTATATTATTAGTCGTAAGCTATATCGCTCAATCTTTGACCATAATTTATAATTAACGTTTCAGCCGCTAGCTTTACCGCTCATGATTTGGCTGTAAGGGTATTATATTATTGGTCGCAAGCTATATCGCTCAATCTTTGACCATAATTTATTATTAACGTTTCAACCGCTAGCTTTATCGCTTATGATTTGGCTGTAATGATATTATGTTATTGGCCGCAAGCTTCATCGCTCATCTTACGCTTGCTTATTTAAAAGGATGAAATAATCTCCTTCATATCAAGTTAGAGTTAATCTCCTTAATGAAAAGTTGAGAGTTATCCTTTGACCGCATACAATAATATGCGTGAATAAGTACGCAACAAGAGTATAACATTATTATTATTATTGCAAAAGAAAAAGAAATATGAAATATTAAAAGTGAAGTACTGGCTCGAATGAGTTTTTAAAAAAAACAATAAAGGGAAAAGCAAAAGACTAGTCAATTACATACTCCATAGAGAAGAGTTATTATTGGAAAATACATCTAATTGTTCTCGTACTTCAGCTTCACGTTTTTTTAGGGAAGCTATCTTCGTTGCAATGTCTTCTAACTCATTTTCCAAGAAAGACTTGTTGAGGAAAATCTTGGCTTTAGATCTACAATCACCAAGGCATTCAAGCTTAAATCCAAAGTTACAAGCATTATCGAAATCCTGTAACATCTGTTGCAATTCCTCTAATGAAGTACTTATTAATGGAGCATGGGAAATGGCTAAACCTTTACCTAACACTTCCATCATTAAGCAAATGACATCTACATTCTTCACAAAGGAAGTACTCCAAAACTCTGCCTCTATATTGAAAACATGCTCCAAGTATTCCACGTACTCTAATGAAATTTGAAAACCATGGAAGTCAACTTTCTTACCACTTTGTTCAGTATGTGCTACTTGAGTGCTAAAAGCAATAATGGCATCTCTGTGTTCTGACGCTGGGGAGGAAGAAGCATGAGGATTAATTGGAGTAGCTCTAACACCATCAGTATCAACTCCAACATCATGAATAACCTTAACATTTGGAGTAGCCTCAGGAACAACTTCAACAGCAGAAATAGCATCAGTGTCAGGAACAACCTCATCTCAAATAGCCTTGAGAGTAAGAATAATCTTAATTTCAAAAAGAAAAAAAATGGAACTAAATCAATTAGTGATATGTTTATACCTCATTCATAGTGGAGCTCTAAACATGATTTGGAAATAGAACATCCAAATCAATGAAATCATCAAAAGGAGTTGACTCACTCTCAACTTCAGCATTATCAATATCAACAAATTCATCATCAGATTCATCACTATGTTCATAGTCACATGGTTCTTTCTCAGTCTCTATTTTAGAAATTTCTTCCTCTTCAACTAAATTAAGCTCTACTCGTGTGGTTGATTCTCCCAAAAAAAAAAATGAAATGAGAAAATATAAAAATATATATAAAAAATCAAAATAAGGAAATAATATTTATATATATATATATAAATGAACTTACTTTTCAATAGGTGTGTTTATCGTTTGATTGATGAGTAGGAGCACGAGGTGCAGAATCTTTTTCTTCAGTTATACATATCTTTTTTTTAAGAGGAATCAAGTGCATAGATATATCATTATTACTTATATGAGGAATGTAGAGTTGAGTTGTGGGATTAGTTAATGGCACAGTAAAAGATTTACATTCTCCAAGACAATCTCTCCAATAAGCAAATCATCCAGAAGTATGGATACCAACTTTATCAAAAGGTGGGATAGTACAATTCTTAAGTTTATCTGAACAGAGTAGAAGTCTTGTCATGAGAAATGAAGAAACACAAGAAGAAAAGCTGATAGATGAAAAAGAGTCAGGTGGAGCCGGTTGGTCAAATCCAAATTGACGTGCCACTTTATAAGGAGCATACACTTCAACAGAACGAAAGTTTCTATCTCCACCAGCACTAGAACTCTTAATAATAGAAGGCAATTGTGAACTATGAACCCATTTACAAAAGTTGATACCTCGTGAGCTCATTCTTCTAGATTGTAGAGAATGAAGGTCATAATAAATTACAGGATCACCAAATCCATTTATAGGTTACACATAAGGTCTGGGATTGAATTCTTTTGTCACATCCATCACTTCAAGAACATTACCTCTTGGTAGTCGATCATGCCATGCCCAAGCTCTATAGTTGTTTCTAGATAAAGCGTTAGTCACAGAAAAAGATGTAAAAGGATATGCATTAAGCATGGGAGTACAAGTACTAAACCTTTCCCATAAGCACATCTGAATGAAGGAAGCATCTACATAAGTCAAAATTCTGTAACACCCAGCTGACTCAACAGTTTTGAGTTGGTACAAGTCTAATCTCTTATATAGAGATCCTAAATATAGTGGAGCAAGAGGAAAGCGTATTCCACTAATAAGTTTTATTGCTAAAGGAAAAACTACTAAAGAAATACCATCATCTGGACACCCAGGGAGTATGTGTTGTGCCAACCAAAAAATTACTAAAGCTACTAGTTTATGCTTATGGTCTGGGTACTCAAGAGAACCAATTTCGATTCCCATAGCATTGAATTTTTTATAAAAAAACCCTATCCAGATGGATAAGCATGCAACCTTCGAAGTTTTACTCGAACTTTTAAGGAGATCAAAGAAAAAGTCTCGAATACATGTCTCTTCTTCAAAAAGTTTAATAGAGTGAAAATCATGTTTTCCTATACAATGAAGTTCCAAGAGAACACATACATCTTCTAGAGTGAAGGTAAATTCTCCCCATGCTGTGATCATAGTTTGAGAAAAAATGCTCCACCTTGCAAGAATAGCACGCCATACATCCATCCTCTTCTCTCTACAAATATTGAGCTTAGAAGTGATATGCATAGCATCCAGCATCCCAGCAGACGAGAGAAGTTTAACATAAGTAGGATTCTTCAACGCCTTATTTACCCATTCATCCCAACCATGAACAAATTGAGAATTGGAGCCTCACTTAGTAGCAGAAAGGAGAAACTCACCACGTTAAAACCTGAACTTCAAAGTAGATAGTCTTGGAATACCACTTCTTTTATGAGGAGATGCTTCTGAGCATAGACGATTCCAATCATATCCAACAAGCTCAAAGGGATGTTCGTCAACCTGTCTGGCATGAACTTCTTCCCAAAAACGATCTTCTCCTCGTTCTTTAATAATTTCATCTTCTTAGTTTTCAGGGACAGGAGGAACTTCACCACTCTTTCCTATTATTAATATATAATAAAATCAATGAATAAAACTAAAAAAAATAATAATAAATAATATATATACATAATATTTAAAAATATATATAATAATTATCAAGTTTAAAAAAAAAAAAAGAAGAAGCTCGTGACACATGCCGCGAGCTTCACTTAAAAAAGCTCGCCTTCATTGCAAAAAGCATGCGACAAGTGCCGCGAGCTTCACTGAAAATAATAATAATAATAATAACATAATAGGGGCTCAATTTAAAAAAAATTAATTACAACTTGCAGCTTTTGCTGCAAACGAAAAAAAAAGGCTCTCTTTTTAGTATAAAAAATCAAAAACTGTAACTTGCAACTTTTGTTGCCAATAAATAAATAAAAAAAGTTAGTCAACCTTTGTTTACTTTTTTTACTTCAGCCTTTATTTACTTCTTTTATTCTAATTTTTCATTAAAAAATTGTAAAACAAAAGATGGTGACTCCAAGTCTAGAATTTTTAAGAACAAATAGAAATATTAAACTAGACGTCAAGAGAAAAATTAATTAAAAATATAAATAAATAAAAATTCAATAGGTTTTTTTTCTTTGAAATATAAATATTTTTGCTTTGTGATTTTTTCTACAATCAAATAATTTATTTATTTGTTTAAATGTATATATATATATATATATATATATATATAAAATCATCTCATGCATAAATTTTTTTTCTATATTTTAATTAAAAAAAATTCATGCAAGGGGTGACAAGTAAGAGAAATTCATTTTTCTTTTAAAAAAAAAGAAGAACAAATCAAACAAGAAATCTCCTATTTGAGAATAAGTCTTATTAAATATAATCATTTCAATGGTCACATAATATGTTTTAACCGTTATTCAACATTAACTCTCAGTAACGATTACCTAACATTAAAACTCTCCTTAATGATATCATTCATTACGTGTATTAAAACCTTTTCTTGTAACTTTTATTTTTGACATTATATATATAGAGCCTTCATAACTCAAAAAGGGAACCTTTTCAGAACTACTGGACTCTGACTCATAACTTTTCTCCTTAGTCTATCCTCACTCAAAACACTTATTCTTTTCTTATTCTCTTCCACCTACCATCATATTTAGTGCTTTGAGAACTGCTCCAATCTTCCTCTCCGTCACCTCTGGTGCATCCTTTACTTGTTTGCAATGCTTCCTCTTCTCATCACAAGAACCCCATTTACAACTACCTAATTTAATTATAAACTAAAAAGAACAAATCTCATTTAATTAGTTAATTAATTAATTTAATCACTGTTTCTAAATTAACAAAAGGCCCATCGTCTAGGTCATAGGACGCGGGGCAAATGATAGACCACCACCCAAGGGTGCATCAAGGGGGACTGCCAAGGGCCTTGATATTTTTTTATCAAGGGGCATATAAACAATGTTTTCCAAGTAAATGGGTATCCATAAAACTTTATGGGTGACAATTTATTTATTTTTAATTAAATTATAATTTAACTTAATAAAATTTAATATGATAATA